TTTCCCTAGCTGCACCTATTACATGCTGGGATGTGGTGACAGCATCTTGCTTTGGCTCCTGGGGCATGAGTTTTGAGCCTTTTCCTTCACTCCCTCCACTCTCCCCTCTTCTTCCCCAGACTTGTACCAAATATTGCACCAAATCAGTCCAATTATACATGAGTCATTCAGTGAAGAGTCAGGTGGCTGGACATTATACTAGCCACATACCTTCAATGTGTGTCCTTGGCAATAGGAATGTGTCTGCCATAATCACTTCTGCCAAAGAGACCACTTTTCATTAGGGCTGTGCGAATTTCGCCAGCTGTTTCGTTTCAACACTGTTTTGACTCATTTTGAGGTCAAAACAGCAAAATCAAAACAAAAAGGGTGTCAAAACAGCCTCGAAACAAAACGAAGCTAGTCAAAATGTTTAGAAAGTCTAAATGTTTCAACCATAGCGCTGGGGATGGAACCCAATCTAAGATTTGCGTCCAACCCACCCCCACCAAGAGACGAATGTGTATTCTGTTTGCTACTGATCTAAACTATGCTGTTTACAGAAAACAGTGCAACTTTGATTCTGCCTCAAGCTTTTTGAATGTCTGTACCTAACCAAGATGATGTGCTAAAATAGCATAAAACTCTCCATTACAGCAACATTATTTATAGGGTGCCTATTGCTGTAGCACGTAAGTAACAACTTCTGTCTTCCTTCCTGTTTCCTATCCTCTAGAACAGTAGAGGAAACTTATCAAAAGTATGACATTCTTGCCAGGTAAATTATTGTTCTGCCTGTTTCTCTAGACAACATTATTGAAACCTGTCAGACAGTATGAAGAAGTGTCAACCCAGAGTCTGTCTTCTGGAAAGCTTTAAAGACAAACTGCAAAAAAGGGGGAAAGGAAATAAGTATAATGAAGTGTTTTGCATTACTATTAATTTTAAGTTATATTTGTACAAACCTATCCACAACTACCCCTCTCTGTTGCTATTATACATTTTGCTTTATGTTCTTTCTAGTCCACAAAAATTCTTCCTTGCATATAAATATATATGTATATATGCATTCATGCATCCAGGAAAGATATAGCTGCATGGATAGAACCTTCCCAGAATCCCACTGAATTTCCTTGTGCCAAATGCAGGTGAATAGTGTCTGCCTTTTTTGGTAATTGCAGGCTAGGCCTATTAATTTCAGTAGTATTTCCTTGCTTACTATCAAAATCCAACACACACACACACACACACACACGTGTGTGTGTGTGTAGTATGTATGCATGTATGTAAATATATACACACATATGTAAATATGTATAAATATTTACATACCTGCAGTAGTCCTTGCTTTCTTGTTTATTATAAAAACCTGAATCATCATATATATTTGATATGCCAAGGAAGAAGGTAGGCTATATATCATATATACATATGTATACATTTCCTTGGCACATCATACATATATAACCTACCCCCTTCCTCAGCATATCATATTTTTATATTTTTATTTTTATTAATTTTTTATTTTTATTTATATATTTATTTTATTTATTTTTATTTATTTATTTATTTTTTACCTTTAATAATGTTCTTTTTACATTTATCTTCAAGGGAGTGGCAGGGGTGGGCGAAATAATCT